TTTTGAAGAGGGTGATGTTCTCTCAGAGTTCTGCAGGTGCTCTGGTTGGCTGAGTGGGTCTGTGGATGTGGGTCTTGGTGCATTTGTGGGAGAGGGTGAGCTGCGAGCGTCCTTCTACTCCGCCATCCTCTCTCTCCTTATGATGCTGATATTCTAATGGAGTTTCTCAACAAAAATCAATTTTTGATGTGTTTACATACAAATATTTTCCTATACATTTCTCCCCACAGGCTTCTACAAAATATTTTTCTCTGTGCTTTTTATATGAATAAGATTAACTTTAGGAGCCATGTTCCAAGACAGGTGGCTGTGATTCAAATGGGGACACAGTAACCAAAAGGACAGTTTTACTAATGATGACAGTTTTACCCTTCAAGCCCAGAGCCCCACTAAAGCCGCCTAGTTGGGAGAGGCAGCTAATGGGGCAGGCTCACTGATGAGGAATAGAATGGAGTTGAATTATCAGTTATTTACTTTGGGGGAGAACTAAACTATAGTTGGGCTCCCCAACTACCAGAAATTCCTGACACAAAGAAGTGAAGTTACACGAGACATTAGGTCATACATTAATTAATTGTATTTTATATACTGGCCACAAATAATTACATAATAAATTTAAATAAGAGCAATTCCATTTATGTAGACATAGTAAAATTATCAAAAAAATGGAGGGAAAGGAGACAGAATATGTAAGGTAGAAAAATTTTCCCAATTACCTATGAGGAATGACTAAGAGTTCAAGTTTGATTCTAAGGCGGTGTGGGATGAAAACGTAATCAGGTAATTTCAGTATTTCTGAAAGTAGAGAATCAAATGACAGTAGCCAAATAATTGGGCTCCTAGGGTATTATACAAACGTATTTATACAATGGTAACAATTAGTACAAAATATAAGCCTTCTTAAATATCAAAAGACAGATTAAGAGTGGGAAGGAAAGAAAAATTAGCAAATAGTAGAAGGTTAGGTGAAGCCATAGAAATAGAGATGTATATATTTAATATATGCATTATATATATCATTCACAATATGTATATATCACTATTTATTATATTACATCTGTAACTATACATTATATTATATATAACTCTCTCTATTGTATACAATAAACACTAGATAACTCAAGTGAAGCATATTGATCAATTGCCCACACTAATACATGTAATATGCTAAAGAAATTACATTCTGTCCACAGATGGACTACTTTGTGTGAGAAGATGGAATGAAGAATATCGAACACACTACTGCGAAGGAATCTCCGGGATAACTTGTTGAGTGAGAACAAGGAAGTTGGAGCCAAGTGTGTATGTTAGACAACTATTCATCTAAGAAACAAAGGAGATACAAATATGCAAAAAATTACATTGAAAATAGCAATGAGGAAGAAGACCTTAAAGTACAAAAAGAAATACGTATGAAGGAGTAAGAAAACTCATGAAAGGAACAGCAATATCAACGTGATATCATTGAATGGGAATCTGACTTTGTAGAACTTCTTTTGGAAACACAAATACTTTGCAAAATCATAAAACAAAATCTAAATTCAGAAGTTGATTCCTAAAAAGAAAACACTGAAGGCGTCCATGCGTGTAGAGGTGACACATGGTTCAAGTGTTCATTTCAGGAGTTTATAGCTGGAGGGACACGGGTTGTAGTGGGATATGCTAGGTCTGAGTGTTCCTGATGTGATCGATATCAGTCAGAAAGGAGCAGCAGAAGAAGTTCCTTTGTTTGTCTGTTTTTGAAGTATGCCAGGGAAAACC